GGAGGAGGACAAGCGTACACCCAAGATGCATCAACGCTTATGCGATATATCCTCCCATCCCAAGTCCCCTCGTCACAAGTCTATACAAACGACGAACGCCCCATGAGCCCACCATTCAGGCGGGAGCTTCGTTGTGACACATCGCCCTCTATGCTTCGAGCTATTATGAATGCGACAATACGGGTTCTTACATTCAATTCGATAAACACTTTCCATCCGTGTAATTGCAGCGTCAAAACTACAAGTGTCCTGGCCTAAATCAAAAACGTCTCAGGCGACAACGCACTTTCGAACATCAGTCGCCCTCACTCAAACATGTGGTGATACATGTGGTGCTATGTTGGAGGAAGTCTCAGGCGAGAGCCATATTTTGAAGCGCACCAGCTTTTATTATTCCAACTGTTGCAAGTTTGAAGATGAGTGCGTTCGGATTTAAGGCGAGAGCCGCGTTTTGAAAACCACCAGTCCTTCATCCGTGAACCAGACAAGTTTTGTTCCAGGGTATGAAATTGTAGTGAAGTCTGACTCGAAAAACCAGGTTCGGCCCACGGACGCGTCTGCTGGTGCGACATGGGACATTATTAAATTAATGTGGTGCGGAATGAGAAAGGAGAAGGGTTAGAAGAGGGACATGAGGAGGGGAGGCAGAGGAGGATGATGAGGGGGCCAACGAAGGAAGAGGTGGGCAGAGGGAGGGAGGAAGGGGTGATTGGGGACGACGGCAGATCTGCCTGCAGGGCCTTGCAGCGGGTGAACTCCCCCGTGGAGGCCACCTTGGACCTCGACGCGCAAGCGCCAAGATGCCCGCGCCTGTTTGCGGACGTCACTGTCCAGCACGCCGTGCCAGGAGATGCCGAGTACCTCGCGGCGGCGGCCTGGCGGGACGGCGCCGTCAGCGCGGAAGCGGAAGCCGCCGCGCGGTGACGCTGCCCAGCCGGGCGGGCGCCTCGGCGGGCACTCCGTGTGGCCTTCGAGGCAAGGGCGGGGGGGCGGCACGGCAGAGCCGCCCTGCGCCGCCTGCGGCTCTTTGCGCGGGCCCTCGTCCAGGAGCCGGAGGGAAGAGGGCCACTCGGCGGCTGCCGGCGCTCCGACACAGCGCGGGTAGGGTGGTGGTGGTGAGCTGTAATTAGGCAGCCCTGTGCCAAGGGCAGCGGCCCTCGGCGCCACCCGAAGATGCTAAGACTGTGCGTGCGTCGTCCCCAAAGGGACAGCGCTCGCGCCGAGAACATCTTACCGTGTACGCTCGATGGCGGGCGCCTTCTGGCCACGCCGCTCGGAAAACGATCTGCCACTGTGTCTCCTATGTGTTCGGTTAGCACGGGCGCCTCCAATCTAGGTTTCCTAAATTGGGTCGAAGTCGATGTGGTCGGAGGATCGCGCCGCGTCGCCGATGCATCGGCGATGCGGCTTGGTGTGGGGCCCGATTTTCTCCATGCCAGTGTCGCCGATGCACCGCCGACGTCGCCGATGCATCGTCGATGCATCGGCGATTCGGCGCGATCCTCCGACCCCTTCTGTTCGGATCCCATATGAGAGGCACCTTTCCAATAGAAGCGTAAGGTGCTAATTGTTTCATGTGTCCTTCTGCGTCCCAGGCTTGAGAGCTGCGAGCGAGCCTCGGGGGGGCCGCGCAGCAGGCGCGGCCGCCCTCCGACAGGCGACGCCCGGGTTGGGCCCGCCCGCGCTTGCATGTGCAGCTTGAGCCGCAGTGGACCCGTTTTTCGCAGGGCTGCCTCCTGGGCGCCAGCGCGGGCGCCGCATGTGCGAACAGCAGAAGGATGTGAGGAGAAGGCCAGTAGGAGAAGGAGGAGTATGAGGAGGAGGAGGAGGAGGAGGGGTAGGAGTAGTAATACTACTACCACTAATAATGATAATGATTGTAGTCGTGGTAGTAGTACTGCGAATGATATCAATACTGCTACGATTCGGAATACTAATAATCCTAAGAAAATCTTATTCATAATTAAAAGCATACTGATACTGATAATGATAACGAGCATACGAATACGAAGAGGATGAGGAGGGGAAGGAAGAGGAAGAGGAAGAGGAGTAGGAAGAGTAGGAGGAATAGGAGGAGTAGGAGGAGGAGGAGGATGCGGAGGAGGAGGAGGAGGAGGAGGAGGAAGGTCGGAAGGAGAGGCAGGAGAAACAGCAGGAACATGACCAGGAACGATATGGAGGGGGAAGCGGAAAACGCTGGGGAGGACAGGAGGGGACGAGGGCGAGAAGGGGGGCGGCACGAAGACGTCGACGAACCACGACCGACGACGGACGACTGACGACAGGCAGCGGAGACGGCGACGGCGAGCGCGGCGGCGGCGCCGCCCGTGCGCGCCCTCTAGGTCGCGAGACGGGGCGCCTGGTAAGCCCGAGTGAGGAGGGCGGCGGGTGTCCCTCCTGGCTTGACCTCTCCTGGTCCTCCTCCCTCGCCCCCTCCCCCTCCCTGCTCCTCCCCTCTCTCCCCCTCTCCTCGTTCTCCTGCCCTCCTCCTCCCCTCCTCGCTTCTCCTCCTGCTCCTCCTCCTGCTCCTCCTGCTCCGCTTCCTCCTTGCTCCTTCGCGGTTCCTCGCTAGACTGAGCTGCATTCCGTCCCCGCTCTAGTTCCATCGCCTCTTCTCCCGTCGCCTCCCCCCTCTCCTATCCTCCTTTCCCTCCCCTTCCCTCGTTCTCCTCTTCCTCCTCCTCCTCCTCCTGCTCGTCCGCGTCGTTGCCATCCTTCCTCCTCCTCCTCCTCCTCCTTCCTGCTCCTCCTGTCCCTTCCCACTAACAATCTCAGCTCCCACCCGTCTTTCCTCCTTTCTCTCCCCCTTCCTCCAGCACCTCCTCCACGTGTTCCTTTCCCCGCCTCATTTGCCTTTCCCTTCATGTCCGCCTCCCCTCCTACTGACTCCTACTGACTCCTCCTCCTCCTCCTCCTCCTCCTCCTCCTCCTCCTCTTCCCTTCTTTCTGCCCTTCTCCTGCCTCCTCCTCCTCCCGCCTCCCCCGTAGCAGTTTTTGTTCAAGCTGGCCGAGGCGAGGGAGCGCGATCGGACCACGTTGCCCGCACCGTGCAGGGCGCTCTCTTGCAGAAGGCCGGCTGGCGCCCTGCGCTCGAAGGGGAGCCCAGGGGGAGCCGCTGGTACAGCCTGCGGAAGCAACAGGCTGCCGAGCCCTACCCTCGCCGATCAACGATTCAGGCAACTCGGTTGACGGCGGGGACAGGGCTCGGAGTTCGTCTAACACGTGGCGAAATCCGACCCCTACCTCCGCCTCCCACCGATTCAGGAGAGTCGATGATTGGTGGGGGTAGGATTTGGATGTCGCCACCTGGAGGAGGCGGAGGAGGAGGAGTAGGAGGAGGAGGAGGAGGAGGGAGGAGGAGGAGGGGAGGAGGAGGAGGAGGGAGGAGGAGGAGGAGAGGAGGAGGAGGAGGAGAGGAGGAGGAGGAGGAGGAGGAGGAGGAGGAGGAGGAGGAGGAGGAGGAGGAGGAGGAGAGAGGAGGAGGAGGAGGAGGAGGAGGGAGGAGGAGGAGGAGGAGGAGGAGGAGGAGGAGGAGGAGGAGGAGGAGGAGAGAGGAGGAGGAGGAGGAGGAGAGGAGGAGGAGGAGGAGGAGGAGGAGGAGGAGGAGGAGGAGGGGAGGAGGAGGAGGGGGGGGGCTCGCGACGCGAATCCCTCGAGCCTAAGGGCTCGTCCCGAATAGCGTCCTTCTCCTCCCCCTTTTTCTCCTCCTCCTCCTCTGTCCTTCCCCCTCATTCCTTCTCCTCCCTCTCGCCCTCCTCCGCTACCTCCCCTTCCCGCTTCCTCCCCCTAACTCCCCCCCTCATCCTCCCCCTCATCCTCCACAGTTACAGAAATGAGTACTACTGTCCTATCTCCCTTGGTGGCGTCCGGGGAACGTCTGGCCCCCCTCCGCGTACTGTTTTTTACACAGGACTCCCGGGAGTTTGGTTTTCGCTTGGTTGTTTTTTCAAAATGCTGCTCTCGCTTGAGCGCTGGCCTCATTTTCGGGCTACCGCTCGTTCCGAATCGTGCTCCCGCTGCAGCGCTGGCCTCATTTCCGCGCTTCCGCTCGTTCCGAATCGTGCTCCCGCTGCAGCGCTGGCGTCATTGTTTCCAGCGCCATGCCCTGGCATGGTTTTCGGTCCTTCCAGATAGGCCTCAAAATCTAGAACATGTACTCCCGAAGAAACCATCGGAAGCGATTCCACATTCGGTGCTGATTCGTTGATTTGTTGGGCCGCAGAAGCCCCGGCGTCGCCACGCCATGCCGAGAGCGACGAGGACGAGGGGGATAAGGAAGAAGACGACGACGAGGGGCGGAGGGCCAGCACCCCCATCCGTCCGATCGGCCCAAGCCAAGAGCAAGGGCAGAAGGGAGAAACGCATCGGAGCCACATTGGAGCCAGAGTGTCACAATCTTGAGGTCAACTAGGGCTTCAAGGGCTCATCTTGGGGCAATCTCGAAAACGTCTCGGGCTCGTGGGGTCGTCCCGGGGCCACCTCGAAGCAACATTGGGGTCACGCGGAAGCCTTAGTTCAGTCGGAAGACAATGGGGTTCGTCTCGGTGTTCTCTTGGGGACGCAGAGTCGCTCTGGGGTCATTTGGGGGCCATTGCTTAGCAGGGGTGGGCATCTTGGGGCAACGGGGGTAATCTCGTGATCCTTTCAAAATCCTTTTGGGTCCATCTTGGAAACGTATTTCCGTTGCTGCCTCTCGTTGCTGTTGCTACAGATGTTGCCGTTGTTGCTGGCGTTGATGCTGCTGGTATCGCCTGGGCTGCCCGTGGTGCTGGTGCTGGTGCTGCGTTAAATTTCGGGCCCTCTTGGAGCCATCTTGGGGCCCTCTTGGGGCCCTCCTGGGCCTCTCGGGGCCCGCGGGAGCCCTCTGAGGGCCCTTGAAAGGCCTCCGAGAGGAGCAAGAATTCAACGCAATATCAACACAAACCGCCTCCTTATTGCAGAGCGTCTTGTGCTAAATGTGTTTGAAAATGTTTGGGCCCGCTTGGAGCCATCTTGGGGTCCTCTTGGGGCCCTCCTGGGCCCTCTTGGGGCCCTGCGGGAACCCTCTGTGGGCCCTAAGAAGGCTCCAAAGGGCAAAAACAAAGTTAAGACAAACCGCCTCCTTATTGGCGAGCGTCTTGTGTCAAATGTGTGTTAAATTTCGCGCCCTCCTATAACGCCCCAAAAATGTCCAAGAGAGACCCAAGAAGGCCCCAAGAGAGGGCCGTATCCTAGGTTCCACGCTGGGGGTTTACCATGTATCCGCTGCTTGTACACATGCTTCCTATCGCAGGGCTCGGCTTGAGGCTCGGAGGGCCTTCAGGAGGTCTCCAACCTGAGATATCCAAAGACTTCGCGTGAGTTTCGAACGCGACTGCGCTGCTCCAAGAGGGCTCCGAGACGACCCCAGAACGCTCCAAGGCGCTCACAATGGCTTCACGACGGCCAAAGAGACCCTGCAGACGCCCCCCAGGGGTTCCAAGAGGAACCCCCTAGGAGTCTCCAAGAGGCCCAAACCATAGTGTTTTTTTTTTTTTGTTGTCCCCCCCCCGTTTTTGCAGGATTTTAGCATTCTCGCTTTTTTACGGGGCTCCAACGCTCCAAGACGGCCCAAGAGGCCACCAGGATCACCCCAGGACGGCCCAAGAGGTCCCCGACGAGGGCCCCAAGACGACCCACGAGGGCACCAACACGACCCATGAGGCCCAAGAAGGCCCAAGAGAGACCCGAGAAGGCCCAAGAGAGGGCCGTATTTTAGGTTCCACGCTGGGGGGTCACCATGTATCCGCTGTTTGTACAGATGCTTCCTCTTGCGGGGCTCGGCTTCAGGTTCGGAGGGCCTTCAGGTGGGTTCCAACCTGCGGTATCTAAGGATTTCGCGTGAGCTTCGAGTGCGATTGGGCTGCTCCAAGAAAGCTCCGAGACGGCCCCAGAACGCTCCAAGGCGCTCATAACCGCTTCAAGTCGGCCAAAGAGACCCTGCAGACGCCCCCGCGGGGCTTCAAGAGGACCCCCCAAGGAGCTGTAAGAGGTCCAAACCAGAGTTGTTAAATTATTTTTGAAGGGTTTTGACGTTCTCGCTTTTACGGGGCTCCAACGCTCCAAGACGGCCCAAGAGGCCACCAGGATCACCCCAGGACGGCCCAAGAGGCCCCCGACGAGGGCCCCAAGACGACCCACGAGGGCACCAACACGACCCATGAGGCCCACAATGCGGCCCAAGTGGCCCCCAGGACGGCTCGGAGAGGGATCCGAACATTGAACGAATTCGTACATGTCTGAGACGATCGCGGAGCCTCTTGGGGGCCCTTGAGGGGCCAGGGGCCTGCTGGGGGTTTCTTGGGGCCTGATAAAGGGGCCTCTTGGGCGCGCCTCCTGAGGTATGGTGAGACTTCTTAGGGGCTTCTTAGGGCGTCTTGGGGGGCCCTTTGGGGCCTCTTGGGGGCCTGCTGGGGCCCTAAGAGAGCCCCGAAAATCTCCGGGCCACCCAGAGATGCGGCAAAACCATCTCCGGGTGACCCGGAAACCTCTCGGGGCCCTCTTGGAGCTCTATTGGGGGGCTCCTGCAGGACGGCTTGGGAGCGCTCCAAGAGGCTCCAAGAGGGCCCCGAGAAGTCTCCAAGAGGGTCTCGAAAAATCTCCGTGTCACCTGGGGACGCTGCAGCGCCATCTCCGGGTGACCCGGAGATCTCTCGGGGCCATTTTGTAGCTTTCTTGGGGGGGCTCCAAGACGGCGGGGGGGAGGGCGGGAGGGGTGGATCTCCTGGAGATGCGGCCGCGAAGGAGGGGGCGGCTTCTGGGGGCCCGATGGGAGCCTCTCGGGCGCCTCTTGAGATCTGTCGGGGTTTCTTGGGGACCTCTCAAGGCCTTCTGGGGGTCCTGTGGGACCTTTGGGGCGTCTGCGGGTTTCTCGGGGGTGTCTTGGAACCTCTTGGGGTCTGAGAAGCGATGCTGTTGTTACTGCTGTTGTTGCTGCTGCTGCTGCTGCTGCTGCTGCTGCTGTTGTTGTTGTTGTTGTTGTTGTTGTTGTTGTTGTTGTTGTTGTAATTGTTGTTGATGTTATTGTTGTTGTTGTTTTTGTAGTTGTAGTTATATTTGTTGATGTTATTTGTGTTGTTGCTGCGGTTGCTGTTGTTGTTGCCGATGTTGTTGTTGTTGGTGGTGGTGGTGGTGTTAGTGTCGTTGTTATTGTTGCTGTTGTTGCTGTTGGTGGTGTTGCTGTTGTTGTTATGGTTGTTGTTGATGGTGTTGCGATTGTTGTTGTTGTTGCTGCTATTATTGTTGTCGTTGTCGCTGTCGTTGTGGTTGTTGTTGTTGTTGTTGTTGCTTAGTTGTGATGTGGTTGTTTATGTTGTCGTCGTTGTTGTCGTTTGTTGTTGTGGTTCTTTGTCGTGATCTGCAACGACATTTAAAGTATCGGCACGCACGCAATCGAACAACATCACATATTACCCCACAGAGATTGCACCAGGCCGATTGTACCCCGTAAGTTGCGCGCCACATATTTCGCATCACATCGAT